ATTTCATTTCTGAATTATGTGAGTGTGTGTGCAGAACGATTGACACATGAAATGGATCTGAAACTTTCTTTTCTTCTGCTCGGCATTGTTAAGTGAATATAAATGTTCTCGAATTTCATCGTTTTACTCAAAATATGCAAATCAGCGAATAAGAGAAAGAACATTCGATATGGGGCGAGTGTTCATTTGATGACGATGACGATGAAAATGACATTGATACGTGCAAAATCGATCGTAATGGTACTGGTGCAGACACGAACATTTTCGTTCATTAAATGAAATGGTGTGAACAAGAATAATCCATGTTGAGCCCAATTACATTCAATTCTATATATCTCTCACCTGCCGCCAGAAAACGAAATATATTGTCGGTCTCTTTTTCCCCTGTCGATCGTTACATTTTCAAGCCGAAACCGCATACCGTGTGATCAGCGGTCGAACGCACCAAGAGCAACATTAGTAATACAAATTAATGGAAATGCCGACTAATATCATATCGATACTATGAATGCATTAAAATAATGATGATGTTGTTGTCGATGCCGACTGAACGAATAGGCCTTGGCGGTGGCGACACCAGAGCGACGCGCGCGAGCAATAGAACGAGATAGAAAAGCAAAAAAAACTCATAAAGAATAACAAACAATACGGCACATAAATATACATATGCTTTACAAATATGGTCTATCTTTGTTGTGTTGTTCGAATGGGACTCATGTTGTGTGTACTACTCAATGAAACAATTCGGAATCAATGTTCCGACTTCGAAACATTCCCCGATAGATGTTGGTTATATTTCATTTCGATTGAACAAACATACGTTTATATGTAATGTTCTTCTCGTATTTTTTTTTACGACTTTCTTCCATAAATTTATGCTCGCACCACAAGGTACTGCGCACACACACACACACACACATCAAAAGAAAAGACAACAACCATGCATCACCGATGTATAATCAATGGCTTTTAGACACATTCATATTTATTAGAAATTCCCATATCGATATCGATACGATTATAATTTATGCATACATTTTCGATTCACACTCATTTGGCTTATCGACATTATTCATTTTCTGGAGCGTGTTTTTTTCCCCTCTTCTATTCTATTCCACATCGCCCAAAATAACACCACATTCGAATGAACATTCCAATTTAATTTGCTCAATGCGGATCGCAGAGCAGATGTTTAGCCTCTTAAAATGCAAATTACGCACTTTTTTCTCGTTCATATTGCCAATGCTTAAGTTGAAAGAAAAAACACAGAAAAAATGCGCCCAAAATATCACGCTTGGCTTCTGAAAATTGATAATATTTCAGCTTTTGCCCCCTAATTTCAATTAACATTTATATGTGACCATTAGAATATTAGCACTTTCTATTTGATATGTCTCAATTTATGGAAACCAAAAATTCATGCACGCCACAAGACGCGCGCGCGCTTAAACACACACACACACACACACATTCTGAATTTTACCGCAATTCATTAATTTTCTCAATGGGACATTTGCCACTCTCAACGCACTGCTGTTGATAAATCTGAAACGCAATTAAGTCAATTTCGAAAGTCGACGTGAGCAGAAAGAAAGACACCAAAATTAAAAAAAAAACAAGAATTTAAAAGCTGACACAAAAGTCAGTCTGGAGAAACAGTAGCAAAGCGAATGTTTGGACAATTTAGAGAAGTTAGCGATAAGTGGCGGAATGAATTGAACTCAGTGTGTGCGCAGCACACAGCCAAAAGTGGTACACAAAGGCACAGAAAGGATTAGAACTGTTATGAACGAAAGAAAGGAAATGAACACTCATTGTTCGGAAATGTGTTTGAATTGCGCTGTGATTGTTTTCAATGTGATATTTCCTATTTTTCGGCTTATTCAAAACGATTATTTCCGCCTTGGTTTTTAGATTAACGACGACTGCATTGGGAAAAAACGGCAATAAATCATAATTTTGCTGTCAAAAAAAGTGTTTGAACTATTAGTCAACGGAGTGAGAAAAAGAAAGAAAGAGAAAAAAAAGACTTTGAAGAGACGATATACATTACGCTGTATTTCCCTTAAATAAGCGATAAGAGAAACAGTTGATTTTTTTGTGTTTGCTCTTCGGTTTTGAATAAACACACAGTGAGACATGATAAGCGAATTCCAAACGACACACGAAGTATAAAGTTCGAGCATTTTGTGTGGTTTTCAGAACGAACGCTGAGAAAATAGAATTTGGCTGTAAATATGATTCAAGCGGTATCGAGTCCCACGGAAAATGCATTTGCCAGCAATTCGATTGAGACACCACGTCGTCGATCCACATTTTATGTGCCGTTGACAATAGCCACCACCACCAACATCGATGACAGTGACAATAAGACAAATCAAAGCAAAGATGATGACAACTTTAAGACGGAACGACAGAAACGATCGCTTGATAAAATCTACAAACCGGAGAGTGTGTGCAATTATGATTGGAGCCTAAATGAGTCTGCTGATTTGATGGCGTCAAATGAAGTAGAGCTGCGAACGGGCGTCAAACGCACCGCATCCGCATCGACAGCGCTATTTTCCAGCAAAAATGATCGAACTTTAGTGGATCGACCGTTAAAATCGATTTCAACATCGGAGGTGAACAATCGCAATAAAATCAAGCGATATGGAATCGTTCTAAATGGCAGCGTTAATTTGGACGACGATGCCAAATTGGAAATAAACGATGAAAATCAGTGCCATGACGATGAAGAGCAAAAATCACCATCAAGCACATCGACACCCATAAAAATGATGAAATCACGGAGTCGATCGAATATTCTATGTTTACCGGACAAATCATTCCAATTGTCGCCGCTGAAAGAGAAATCCAAAACGTTACCACAAAATCTATCACCGAAAGTTCTAACATCAGCATCCGCATCAAACATAGCCAGTCACACAAACTCCTCAACCTTTCCACCAAAGTATTCATTCTTGTTGAAATCATCGCCGAAAATTTCGTTGAATTATTCATTCGATGCCATTGCCGCGTCAGCATCGAGTCCTGTGAGCAGTACAACTGTGACATCACCACAGGTTATTGATAAAAGGGCTCAGTTGGCTCTGTCACCTTCAACCGCTTCCTCACCGCGCAAAGCGCTCAGTTTTATTCGTCGTGCCCATTCAACAAAGTTGTCACGCAGCAATTCACTGCTGAAAAGTCTCACATCGAAATGCGTAGATCAAACAGCCGAGAATCTACTTAATCAACCAGTTACTGAGTTGTTATTTGATCGCTTCGAAGAATACTTTAAATCGGACAATTTTTATGCGTTAATAAAAGAGTTGTTCTTGCTGAAAGATGTTGCCACTAGTTCAAACAATGGCTTGGCAACTTCATCGACGGCTGTGAATACATCAAAAGATCACACTGAAAACAACAAATGCGATGAAGAAGTACACTCGGGTAAATATCACAGTAATCACAGTATTAAAGCTATCAAAGATCTCTTCTCATTCACATACACGCATCGGATTTGAATGAAAATCGTTTAAGACGGATTAACACCGTGCATTTAATTTATAGGCGCATATAAAAAAGAATCCAGCAAAATATTTTGATGGAATGTTTTTTTTTAAATCTGTCTTTTCTCGTGAAACAAAACAACGGTTGACATGGTTTTACTCTTTCTGTGTGAATGTCATGAAAGGAAAACAGGCAAAAACAGACATACACTTTTACCTCGAATCACACGCACATTAAAAATACGATGGCATTCTTCAATGAATCGAGTAAAATTATTTAAAATATTTGGTTCGAGTTCTGTGTGTTTTTTTAAATTGGAAACATTTCTCGCGATAAGGTGAACAAAGAAAACGAAGAAAAATTCGATTAATTTTTCTCTGTTTTTCGATTTGTGTTGTTGCTGCTGCTGCTGCTTTTTTTCGCCGAAACTAATTCACACACAGTCACCGGCTGGAAATTCAATGGGAATCACAAACATACAACAAAAGTCATTCGATCAAATCGAGAGCGCATGACATGCTTTTTGTTTTTATTCTCTGCTTTGTCGGTTTCGGAACCGTTCAGTTCAGCTTCTTGTCACGCAATTCTCACACACACACCGGATTACTCGAATATTTGTACCCATTTGTTGCGTTCCGTTCGTGTAGAAATAGAAAACCGAGTGAAACAAGTTTTGCTTTTCATTCAACGATGTGAAAGTGATTTAGAGCATGTGGCCTATTGGTTTTTGAATCGAAAGTGCTACTGTCTTTTTTTATGGTCCTCAAGACTTTAAAATTCGAATACACCGCAATTGATCACAACTCAAGCTAATCCGAAAATGGATTCACGCTTCATATGGGAAAATAAATCGAAATACCCTTTCGGTTAATAGTCAATTACAGTCTGTTTTGATTCGTTAACGTTGAAATTAGCTCGACATTTTGGCTTGTTAAACTTCCTTCTTGTTTTGAGGTATCCCCATTTCGATTCAATCGCTCAATTAACTCGACTCAGCTCTACAATTATGGAAAGGTTTGGCCTGCCTTTGCCCAGATTGAATAATCAAATTGTATCTCGATCAAATCGCCCACACCGTAATGAGAAAAACATACTCGTTCATTCTGGCCTGCATCTATATCGTTCTATGCTTATGCTGCATTTACAACGTTCGCGTTGGTTTTATGCTATCGCAATAAAACGATGATGATTGACGCCAACGATGTTTCCCTATGAAATTCAATACTCAAATGCAATTGAAATCGATTAAAGTGCCAAGATTCATTTTACTATTTCCATTCTTCGCTTCTCAATTCTCCAGAGATGACAGTCTAATTCATTCGTTCGTTTGAACAATAACACTTTAAAGGAGTGCACCGCGTAGGCTTTTCCTATAAAAATGCATCATTTCACTGTGACAATATATGACAATCGGACATTGTCTTTCATCAAATCCGTTATCGCTTGCTTTTGTCAACATAATCAGGTTTTGTTTGGATTAATTTGGTACCGAAGACGAAGCGCGCTAGCTTGGTTTGGCTTGACTTGCCTTCGAACATCAATTTTAATGCGTGCACCAGCAATAATACACGACCACACGATTTTCCAATTACACTCAATTTGCATTTTTATGCCAGGCTAATGCCATTGTTATCTATCAACAATAAACAAAAAAAATATTCTAACGGAAAGTGACACACACGTTGCGACGCGATCACTCTTGGTTGACCGACTCACGCGATCGCTTGTCCCGCAAACGAAGAAATGTATACGCTTTTCGATTAATCAATGCCTAATCAACGAAACACGTGAACGACTGGTTTCGTTTTAATTAAAATTTATAGTTTTGTGATAATGAAAGCAGAGTGAACACTGAACATTTAATTTACGGCGAGAGACGAAACAATGTGATCGCAAAGAAATTATATAAATAGATTGGAATGACCTATCAATCAACATCAATCGAACGCTGTTCACTTAGCCTAATAAATCATAAGAAAACGTCATCAAAAAAACTGATTACAACACAAGAGGCCCCATGATCAACCTTGGATTATTTTTCAAAATTGTCATCGTACGATAAATTCCAAATACTAAAGAAAGATGATGGTGCATAAATTGAACATCGAAATGAGAGATGGGTCTCCAGCAGTAAAAATGCCATTATTCGATTGAACAAATTAGTTAAATTTAATAGCAATTTCATGGAAAATCGATGTCATTGCTTGGAATAATATTCAAATTCTCAATCACTCGCCACTACGCGATTAAGTTGATTTTTTCATATTTTTTTTTCATTTTTATCCAGTCACATGCCACTGTAATCTGTCCATTGTACTCGAATTGAGGAGCTTAAAATTGTAATTTTCATTTAATTCTTCGTTTCGTTTTCTCTCATTCTGGTTCGCAGCGACGATCACGCTCGTAGCGAATGAAGTGAGAAGGGCGAATTAAACCGTCAAGTCATGACATACACAATTGAGGATGAGCGTCACTTTTATCATTATCAGCATGCAATTGAATGAAATGTGCCCACATTTTCGATCGAGTCTCAAATCATTCTGTTAAATCAACGTTGAATTGTAATTCATTTGAATGAACGAAAATCACACAAAGAAAGAAGAAGAAAAACCATTTGATTTAGAGAGGAAACATCGTGCGCACTATAAGTTGGACTCGTGACAATAGTTTTGTACACGTAGCAACCATATCGAAAATGAAATCGACAACTTATTCCAAAAGTTTTTATATAAATTTATGCGTTGTTCCGAGTCACCGCAGCGGCGTGTGTTAAATAGTTTTTTTTTCCTTTTGAATTCTCAAATTCGGAAAGGGCTTGCAATCATGATGAACCCATTTAAAATCGTAATGAATATTGCGCCATTAAACGTGCGTCTGATTTTAGCCACACTCTAACGATATCAGGCAGGTGGCCCGCATACACATCAATTAATTGCGATGAAAGTAAACGTGACCAGAGAAAGAATCAACCAGCAACGATACACTACATCCAGCTTTGACTATTCCGCTGATTGACATTCTCCTAATTGCTGCTTTCTAATGCTAAGTTTGATTCCGTTTCGAACTCCATTCAACCCGACTCGAAATCGAGAACGAAGAAAATACTTTGCGAATGTATTACCTTTCATGATCAAGAGCCAATTTCAATGAGCTACTTCAAGCCAAGCGAGTGAATTCGGTTTTAGATGTTCAAAAAAAAATGAAAAACCATTAAGAAACTTCACACACCAAATGCACCAGAACAATGCGCTTGAATGAAAAGAAGAAGAAATACAAGGAAAACAATGAGCCCAATTTCGAGTGACGACTGAAAATGGTAAACAATAGAAACTACTTGTTGTTTCATTTTCTTTTACCTTTTTGTCTTGGTTTTGCATTTTAAATTGATTTGCCGCATCGTCGAATAACTTATTTTTGTAGTGCTTCCACTTCTACGGTGAATATTCATAATGCGCCGCATTCTCAGTGGACTTTTGTTTGTTTTTTTCCTCTTCAGCATTGCAACCGAAACGAAGAGAGAGAGAAAAGTCGTTATAAAAGCCCGGACGACAACGGAAACCCTTTAAACGTTGCGCTCAGCTGCATCACACATAGTATGAATCTGAGTGGCAAAAGTATGTTCTTCATTACCGTTCTTAATCCACATTTGAACGATGTTGGATGTGTATTTTTTTCCGTCGACCATCTCGATGCTGTGCTGTTTCCATTGTTACGTTTCACTATGGTTCAAGTGTTCTGAAAATGACGGCAGAAAGATACAAAAAAAAACAATGTAGTAAGAATGAGTTTTGTGTGTGCATATTGCGCAACAAAATCGTACGGCCTATAAGCTCTCGCATTCAACGAGTGTCATTAGCCAAACAAGCACAAGTTGTTACGATGAATCTATGTGAAAACTGCCGTTAAAAATCAGGTCAACAACAGCAACATAAGAAATCTCTCAGTGGGCATTGTTCTTGACTATTAGCTCTTTGGCTTGGATATTTTCTGTAATGAATTTTCAACTTCTCTGCTGTTCGCATCGTGCTCAAGTTTACTTTGGTTGCGTCATCGAACACAGTACACGTTATCGAATGAACAACAAAAACCAAACTATTCTATTGATCGCCGTCGATTATACTTTGTTCGAGTTATTGCTTATGAAATCCATTGATTCGATGGGAACGCGTTTTTTTTTTGCTGGACCAAAGAAAATTGACGATAATTTGCCATTAGAAGAAATTAACTGCCTGAAATGAATGAAGAAAAAAATCTATCGAATTAGCCAAAACGAACAATTTTTCGTTCGACGTGGAATTCTGAGGTGTTGAAATATCGGACTATTTATCGATCTCCTTCGCTGTTCGGCTAATTAGATTATTCAAAATAGAGTTCAATCGACATCATGAGATCGTTGTTGAATCGGTTCGCATGAAGTACAGTAGCAGACGTAGTAATTGTCGCTCGCTTCAGCGTATAACGGAATGCACACTTATGCAAAAAAAAAATTCTCAATTATATCATTGAGTTCCGCATTGACAGCGTGCGCGCATTGCATTGGGTTGTCATTAAAAAAATATCATCCATCTCTTTATGGAAATTATAATATACGCGGCTATTGATTAGCTATTGTAGTCGATCGAATACAGTTATCATGGCAAAAACCAGTAGATAGAAACGCTGGAACATATCGATCTTGCGGCCGATTAGCAGGCGTTCCTAAAGAGTTTTGCACACTTATCAATGCAACAGGCTTTTAGCATTTCCCCTGGTTATGGTTCGATCTCTCATTCATAAGTGTTTGCCGTATTGTTTACCGGTTTGTCTTCCTTTTTGGAATGTATATTGCGCGTGCTTTCGTTTCGATAATTTATTGGTTATGATCGGACCTGCCGTTGTGATTACTTGGTGATTTGAATGTTTTATTTTCTGCCCGAGAAAGAGATTCGAATGAAGAAGCCAAGGATCTGGGAGGCGGTAAAATGAGCCATAATTTAATGTGAACTTGGAAATTATCATAAAATAAACGATTGCCGTCGGCACAAACGTGTGCGTGTGTGTGTTTGGAAAAATTGAAAATGGCCGTAATTACATAGGAGTGGATCGAAATTCCAGAACGAAATGATTTGATTTAGACGAAAACACAGACATAATGTTCGATGCCCGTTTTTAGGTGAACATACTCTGCTTTTCTTTCTTTGGAAATCTCGTACAAATATGGAGAAGGAAAAATTAATTGATTTCAACTTTCGAATATTTCTAAAGCAAGAATCGATATTTGATTTCAAACGTATCTATGGCACGGTGTCGAAGGAAGTCTCTCTGTCGGCAGCGAGAGATTGAATGCAAAATAAATTGAAGAGTGACGGAAGTGTGCATTGTAATTTGACGCAAATCATTTTCGATCAAGTCAGCAAATACATTATTTCACTATTGAAAAAAACAACAACATCGTTACTATTTATCGTGCAGTATTGATCAGCACTTAGGGGCTTCAATGACTATGGCATGGCCTGAAATTGCACATACTTACACCGTTGAAAGTGGAAAATATGCTGTTGTTAGGTATCCCATTCTTACGATGTTGTTATTTTTCTTTTTACCCGTTTTTCGTTTTCGTTGTTGTTCGTCGAATGAGACGCGCACACACAATATCGGCAACACTGTATGTTTATTCTGTTTGAAACATTCAATTCACAATAGACTCATTTTGTACTTCAAACACACACAGTACTACATGTTATGAAATGAATGATGAAAATTAAGAATGAGAGAATTAATAGGTTCAATATGTGCTCGCAGTGTTGCTTTCCTCTCCTCCTCTTCACCTTTCACTCTATCATCCATTTTGTCTATTTGTATTATCGCTGGGGTATATTTGTGCACAAGACACTTCGCATTTCGATAGTGTTCTTCTATTCGGCTTTTATTAAATGTTCTATTGTTGTGATGAAAAGAAGAACACTGAACTTTAAATGAAAAAATACGATGGATAGAATTTCATGAGATAAAGAATGGGACATGACAAAGGCATTTTTGCCTGAATCCATTTTTCCATTTTTTTCTATTCCCTTCTGTTGACTGATTTAATAGGAGTTTTATAAAGATCTAAATTTGAAAATGATCTATGCCAGTAATTTAAGGACAATTACCATGAAATTGGGTCAAGTAAACCGAATTATTAATGCACATCGAATAATCTTGCACACCTTCGAAGAAACCAGGCTGAAACATTAAAAAAAATAGGCATTCAACGACCGAAATTTAATGTAAATTTTTCCAAAATATTTAAACCACCGTAGGTTTTGTGTCATGCAAATGCATGTACAACACTAAGTGCATAGGTCTCAAACGATAAGTGAAACACTCATTTCGAAGTCACGAATTTCGACTCAGACTAGAGCTCATGGAGCGTTTATCGCATCGATCGCAAATTGGCCCAATTTCACAATCGCTGTCTTTTGAACAATGTAAAAAAGAAAGCTGATAAGATCAAATGCAACGATTTCGTTTGGTTGCACTTCAAAGACGAAACGACAAAATCGACACACACGAGAAATCGGTTCGGTAAATAAACATGAACACTTATTTCAAAAATGTTCATCATTCCAAGTGTCCAAACGTCCAACAATTGGCTTTGTTTCGACATCAAAAAAGAAAAACAATGATTATTAGATTAATGGATTAGTTGTCTGTATAAATGGATGAATTTGAATACACAAACACACATAGACATATCAATGCTCGGCTCAGGTAGAAATCGTTTATTTAGAAACCGGCCAAACAATTTCGATCTTTGTCGGCTTTTCAAGACCTCGAGTGCAAATAGGTCAAAAATGTTGTGTAAAAGAGTAAATATTCTAAAGATAAAAATATTTGAGTTTTTTAAGGTTCGGATCGAATCGGATAAAAAATGCCAAAGCCCCATAAAATCGAAAACAAATCAAATGCGTGGAATAATTCCAGTGTTCATAAACTCGAGGAATTGAAAATGGACAAAAAGATAAGTGGTGTAAGGCTTCGTTTGAAATGGATCGGCATGTCGAATGGGCGAAAGAAGATCCAGGTACCAGCCGACAATGGCAATAAAATCGATACACACAATAACGGTAGTTTTTGTACAGCCAATGTCAAATGAAGCGGATAAACCACGTTAAAGCATTGTTGAGCGTTCAGCAAAACCCTTCGACTCGATTCATCGTCTTTTTCGTTCAGTTGTTAATTTTCAACAAACAGGAAGACAGTAGCCCATTACAAAATATATTGCAAATCCAAAGCCAATATTCACGTTATTTTCACCCCGGGACGCACGTTGCAACATTCATTTGCATTACTTGTTTCGGATGTATTCTTCTGGCATTTGACGCTTTGAGAGAATAATTACTTTTGTCCAAAACAAGAACTGCCTTTGTTTTTTTCTCGTTTCGTCGTGCCGCAATGACAACATATTTACATTTATATATCCATTTGGTTTGGCATGTGTTCATCAGTTCATTTGCTTCGTTTCTCTTTTGTTCATCACATTCTGTCTTGTGCACAGCTAATTCTGTCCTGAATGAAATCACGAAGCCGTATACACAAACGACGCAAAAAAAAACAAAAGGTTACAAACACACACATACACACACTATCGCATATACACTCACAAAAATGCTGACACTGAATTTCTCGTCTCGAGACAATCACCATCGCTCGATTGGAGTGTAAGCAAGACAGAACGTCGCTTAAGCTGTGCTGCTGTTGTGAATCATCATCACACAATACGTAATTCTTCTCGTATATATACACTTTTTTTTCCCGCTTGTTTACATAATTTTCTATTTTGAACGAAAACTCATTATATACACAATTTGCCACATCTCATTTCGTTTTCGGCATGCGGCACACACAAAGCGGTCGCGATTCAGTTATGATTGAGTCACAGATGAAATAGGTCCAGTGTAAAGTTGTCAAAAAATTATAAATTTATTTTGCGAATTCATTTAGAGGCAGAGAGAGAGAGAGAGAGAGAGAGAGAGAGAGAGAGACAGGGATTTAGCGCGTGCCTCGACACAACAACAACAAAAAACGAAGTAAAAAATATCAACGTTGAATTCTGTGCAACTGTGATAAAAATTACAATGTGACCGAGAAAAAGATTCGAATCCGATTTAAAGGATTTTAAGCTTCATCAAAAATGCCAAGTGTTTGTGATTACATTTTAAATACGATATTCAGTAGACTAACGAGTGGTGATAGATCGAATGCGACCAAAGGTGAGCTGTAATTGGCGATTGAAAAATTCATTTTTTTTTGCTAAATTTCTCTCCTTACTTTTCGCATGATATCATGCGATTCGTCAAGGTTGTCTCTCATCTTATTAATGCAAACCGTGCAAATTCATAGTAGAAAAACCAAATCGATGCATCGTTGTGTTGAATCGTGAATCGAATTGAAATGTGCTTCTGGTTAAATGTTGCGATGAATCGTCTCAGATGATGCTACTACTGCTGCTGTGGCGGCAGCCGACCTTGACTAGCGCAATTTATGCGAAACATTTAATTAAATCCAAACACTAGCTGATATCGTGCAAAAACAAATATCGATTCAAACGCTGGTGACGGCTCGTGGGTTGAGCACATTGGTGTGTCGTAAAAATGAGCATCGATTTGTAAACACTAATAACTTTTAAATGAGATTCAACGTAGAGGTCGCTCTACAGTCTACACTCATAAACATAGCGATTTTTTTTCATAATTATCGTACGCGGATGGAAAGGAAGAGAGAGAAAAACAAAAATTGTTCCATCATTTACAATCGTCTGTAGTCGATCTCCAATCAATTTTGAATGGGATGAAACTCTCGGGAGTGTGTGTATGTCTTTGCCATTTTCCTTTTACGGCCCGACCCGGCACGGTTGTGCAATCAAGTGAAAAAAATATAGAAATGTTTTCTTCACTTCGGATTGTTTGTTTAAAATGCGGGTTAAGCATTTTGTCGTTTCTCAATGTTTTGTTCATCATCCTCATTTTTTTTGCGCGCGCGCACACACGCACGCATATTTGACCAAAGAAGACACAGAGGGAAAATAAATGGGAAAAGAAGAAGAAGTAACAAGAATATTTTAAACCGGTTTTTCGAAGCGATCGAGAATGATATTTTTCATAGAGCTGAATTGACGCGGTCGCTTTGGAATGATCAAAATCGTACTGAATCATTATATTGCGTTGCATGTTGTTATTGCGAGTGAATGTACGAGTGAACGCGCATGCGCGCTCGCGCGCATTTCGTATTCATGCGTGCTGATGTCCAACTCGAACACTAAGGATATGTCAGATTGAAAACGCTTCCAATCCAGTTAACAGCGTGATATTTTTTCCCTCGTAGGCACCTTCGTTGTTTTTTCTCTTCTCTCTACTTCTTCTTTTTCTTCTTCTTCGTACTGACACGAAACACAGCTCGAAATTAATGCGTTCACTTCATTTGATCCTTTTATTCAATTTTGCCCGTTTCTCTCTCTCTCTCTCTCTGTCTCTCTCTCTCTCGCTTCCAACACATTCGACGGTCGGTTGTCTCAATAGATTTTTATCATGCCTAAATAATTACCCAGTTTATTATTACACGGAATAGAGAAGCAACGAGAAAATAACAACGAATCATTCAAACTACCAACGTGAAACGTCAGACTCATCGCAATTTCAGGCAAAGTTCTTTGCATTTAACCTTCTCGTACTTTCTACGCTATTTGCGCTATTGTGGTGTCGTTGTTGAGTCGAAGGATCGCCAAACGATGTATTCATCGTCGCGGTTAACATAATTGTTTTGTTTACGTTTTCGTATTGGTAAATTGGGACGGCAGTGAGCCCATTTCTCAGGTCGCAACTCTTGCGCACCGATCAATTCATTTGTGTAAATATGTGCTTGAACGGAATACGAATTGTAATCGAACATTCTATAGAGTTCTCTCAAATCGCATTGTGTGCGTGTGCAATTCAAACGATAGTTGCTTAATAATGATGAATCTTCGGAAATGAGTGTGTACTCGTTTCTTCGTTTCGTTTTTTTATTTTTCATCTGAGTTCAATTCATTTCTGCACGGCATTCGTCCAACCATTTCCAATTCGTACACGTACATTTTAATCCACCTTTTGTGTGTACTCAGTACATTCAGCGCGCCGATGTTTATTTGATTATATTCTATATTTGCTTGAATTCAAAGTCATGCGTTGGCTAGAGAACAACGAACGAAACAGAATAAAACACGGTCCAAATGACGGAGCGAAACACGCAAAAATACGATAGAACATCGCTTCCACTATAAGTAATTTCTCACACGGCAAATGTTGAGAGCAACCTAAAATGTACAGCAACAACAACAAAATATTAAAAGCACGAGCGATCACATTCAAAACGTAAACAAAATTCTTTACCGTTTTTTTTTGTTGTTGTTCATTTCGTGTATCTCTTCTTTGCCTTTTTCACATTTCATGCTTTGCACATACTATTTTTTTTTGGTATGTGAATGCGTGAGCTGTGGCAAGATTTACCGCATTTACCTCGAAAAATATTTTCGTATAAATTTCGTTTCTTTCGGGCTTGTTGTTATTATTTTTTTTTCTATGTTATTCTGTAATCGCATTTTTCGGGTGTCCTAAATGTATTGAGATTTGCGTGAAATGCTTTAGTTTCCGATTAACTTTCGAATTGGGCCAAATAATAATGAAACAACAATCGTCGGAAAATCGTCAATATTTTTCTCATCACTTCATGGTATTTTAAGCTGTTACCCGAAGACATGTGATGAAAACTTGATTGAATTTATGAGAGAAAATCCATTAAGTGGCTCGCTCGCATTCGTCGATGACGATAATCAATCGAATTTTATGGTGTAATTCAAATCATGATCGGTTCTTAATTTGAAATGATCCAGCACCAAGCTAAATATATTGAGCTCCGTGTCATGGACACACAAACATTCCAAAGCGTATCACCTATCAATGTTGTTGGACAGACGTCACTTCATTAAGGGAATCACGTAAATTGAATTTAAAAAAAAGAAAGATAAAAACAAAATCATATAATAAAAATTGATTCGTCGAATGTGTCTTCTCCATTCCACGTGAATCATATTGAATTACTTTCAACAAACTTCAATTTTTATTAATTTTGTTTTATCTATACCTGTTCTCGTCGAGTGTGTTGTCCGTTTGCATTCAACCCATTTCTATTGAAACGTTTGAAATCGATATATAATCGCTTTATAATTTTATGACTCGTTTCACTTCAGAGAAAGACAACGAGATTCTTTGAGATTCAAGAGAATTGATGTCGATAAGATTTGAAAAAAAAAAATTCAACAGAAGGACGAGATCAGATCGGTTGCTGCTGCAGAACAACCGACGAGACCACACACGTCGTTCAACGGATTCTGCAGAGTAACCAATCGAACGGACAATCGAAAACAAAACCGAAAAATTGAACGTTTGGTATGCGCAGCGCATCTTCGTCAAACCAATCATTAAGATCTTCATTTTTTTTCGTGTGTGCAAACCATAAGTCATAATAATTGCTTAAATTCGAGCCGCAGGTACCAGCATTTCATTCAACTCGTGATGATACTGAACAATGAAAAAAGACACAAAAAAATTTAAGCGAAAGTAAATCGATGGACAGTGATTCATGTCCGACTCGAATGTCGAATAAACCCGAACAAAACACGTTTGCCGATTCACATCTTTGGAATTCGCGTCAGAAATTCTCAAGAGCCTGTCAGAACAACATTAAGACGCCTTCGTCAGAATGACCTTTGTATTCCACCTTTTGTGGTGTACATCGTTGTTTTTGTAAACGAAACTCGTGTAGCATTACACATTAGTTAGACACAAGTCACATAAAATTAGTCCTTGTGCACGTCTAAATTGAGATTTGAAGTTCAAATTTCCAATAAAAACAAACAAAATCAAATGTCAAACGAGCAATTCAAACGAAAATTTAATGGTTTTACAATCGCTATGATTGCATTCAGAGCGTAAAACCATTGCCGGTTGTTCAATAAACAATGTTTATCTCATAGATTCGAAAAACCGCTGTGCACAATAACAATCCAAAGCCAACGTGTCAAAAGTTGTAAAACCATCTTTCAATGGCTTAAGAAGAATGAAATGCTCACCGAACAGACAAACACACACGGGAAAATAAAACCGATCGAATTGATTGTGTTTGTGGTTCATTGGCCGGAGTTAAGTTTCATTTGATTCTGTGTCTCTCCTTTTACTAACGAACCAACAGAAAATCCACCAAAAGAACCGTTTCCAACATATCAAAATGCATTAAAGCTATTCCCATTAATAGAGAAAGAAAATGATCGATTCGGAACGCGATTACTCGGTTCAAGTGTTCAGTTGCAATGCAAGCAACGGAGCGATTGAGCGTCTGAGCGAGCGACTGACTGAGCATACATATATTCCGAATTCAGTCACAACACTCTCAACAACTATGTTCTTTTTTTTCTTACTAGAGTTGTCTTTTTACGGCTTAGCACTCGCCACACCGTGTAAATGCATCTGATATTATTTATGATGTGATTTAGTTGTGAACAAAAGAGCCATTAAAACCGCACTCACACAGTCACACACACACACACCGTAATCATCGACCACAAAACAGAGACCGTAAATAATGAAACTGAATAAAATATAATTGAAAAAAATGAATGCTTTTTAGCGAGCGGCGAGAGCAGAAAAAAATTTAATCGATTCGTTGATTGTTAATATGGTTGGAATTTGTCGTAGCGTAGATTAAAAAAAAACCGATCGCGATTTGTGGTGCTTGCATTCATATTTCGCTTGGTTGGATTGAGTAACCAGCGAAGTATTTCTCCTTGCCGTTCATTCTTAATTTACGATTTTGCGTTATGCAATCGCAAACCGTACGCATGCAAAACGTTTAGCACCGTTGCACAGTTAAATTGTTGTCGATTTTTGTGAATGGTTGCCCTTTTCATTGCGACACATAACAATTGACATTTCGAATATCAATCGGTAATTTCCTTGGTTATTTCGTCACTAGTTTTTTTCAATTTCGAATCCAATCAATGCAAATCTTTATGACTTTGTTGTCCTCCGTTTTGGAAATCACATAAAATGCGCGGTGCTTTATGATTGAACCCAAAAAAGGTGAAACGGTAGCTAAGGAAATGGCTACGTGGATTAGGCAAAATAAAAATGTTTGTGCGTTACGACGTGGTGGATTTACATTAAGGCCAAATACAGTAATTGAAATTCAAGTCACGCAGTTGATTGTTTGACCATTTTAGATAGCACTGTCCGTTTGCCTTGCGATGAATATGTTGTTTTTTTCTTCTTATGATAATACGCTGGCCAAATAAATCGTTCGGTAGCCATCAATCAAAACAAAAACAAAAACAGAAACAAACGCGATCATAAATTTTGATAGCATTCGAAGAGTGACTGAACGACTTGAAGTGAAACATGAATCAAAAAGTCAATGCACTTTTGTTATGGTTTTCTGACAACTCAAAGAAGCGATAACCAGAAGTAGAAATAGAAAATGGGAGAACGAAGAGAGAGAGAGAAAAAAATATGACATTTCTATTGAATATGTTGAATTTGTAAAATGATAATGACCGATGACTAATGACTTCTCCAATCCAATAGTAGATACCTCGCCTAAATTACATCGAAGCTAATTGAAATTTTCTGTTCTTTTTTTCTCTCATTTGCAGACACATCATACGAGAAAGCATGCCGACGTGGTTCGGCTCCGTCGACACCGATATTGGGCCAGAAAAATCCACCCGAACAACAATCGACATCACGATTCACAAATTTCTTCTCCAAACGGTAGGTTTCCATTCCCTTTGATGCCAAAACAAACAGCCAAAGCGGAAAGAAAATATTTCATTAAAAAAAGAATTTAATTCGATTTCGTTTAGTTCTTTCAGATCGAATCCATTGAAACGAACAAAATCAGTGACAAAATTGGAGCGATCGAAACGAGGACCGGGCGGTTTGCGTGGTTCACGATCACATGAATCGTTGTTATCGAGTCACGCCGTGATGTCGACAATTGACCTATCATGCACCGGAGCCGTTGGTGTGGCTCCCGTTCATCAATCGGTGCTCGGTCGACGGCACTGTTTCCAGGTGCGTGGTGGTCCACGTGGTGAACGCTACTACAGTTGCGGATCACGACAAGAACGAGACTTATGGATTTACAGTTTGCGTAAATCGATTGCACCAAATGCCGAGCATCAGCGACGCACCGACAATTCACTGAAAATGTGGATTCAAGAAGCCAAAGCCATTACCCCGAAGAAACGCTACTTCTGCGAAATAAACTTGGACAAAACACTGTATGGCCGAACGAGCGTCAAACAAAAGACGGATCTTTTGTTTTGGGGTGAATATTTTGATTTTCCCGACATACCCGACATCAATGTGATCACAGTGAATGTGTTTCGCGAGGGTGACAAAAAGAAGAAGCGTGACAAACACATTCTCGTTGGATCGGTGAAAATTCCGATTCATGATGTGACTAAAACGACACGCGAATTCACCGAAGATTGGTATCCAATTGTTTCAGAGAAGCACGATAGTTTTAGTCGTAACTCGACCAAAGAACCAATACCAACATTACGGATTAAATGCCGTTTCCAAAGCATTGACATTCTGCCCATTGAAATTTATACGGACTTTTTGCAATACATGAAAGAACACTATAAGAAGGTATACATTTTTATTTTAAATCTTAATATTTTGATATAGTGTATGGGGTAAGAAGATACAAATTTCTTCAATGATTCTTCATTAGGTATGTGAGATATTAGAACCAGTTATTTTGGTGAAACCAAAAGAAGATATTGGACAGGCATTGGTGCTGCTAATGCAGGCACACGGTTTGGCCGGACCGTTTTTGACAGATGTCGTAGCATTAGATTTACTCCGGGTGGACGATCAACGTTTAACGTTCCGTGGCAATTCGCTGGCCACAAAGAGCATGGAAGCATTCTTAAAATTGACCGGAGAACAATACTTGCAAGACACACTGTCCGGCCCGATCACCGAAATCATCACGTCAGAAAAAGACTTTGAAGTGGATCCATTGAAAGCGCATGGTTCATTGTCACGGCAACAACAAGCTCTACGCAATGCCGTTAAAAATACATGGAACAGCATTGCCGAATCGCACAGGCAAGTTTTAAATACAAAAACGCTGTTGAATGACAAATTCAACTGTACAAATAGAGTTGCCATTATTAATATTTCGTTTCTTCCTTCAACAGAAATTTCCCACCTCAACTTCGCGAATGTTTCGCCACATTCAGAGAGCGATTGATCGAATTGAACCGAGAAGATATGGCTGATAACTTGATTAGTGCATCAATCTTCTTGCGTTTCTTGTGCCCGGCCATTCTGTCGCCAAGTTTATTCAACATCAAGAATGGTAAGCTCACATTTTATTGCTGAATTCTTCATAAACCAAAATTGTTTTTTTTAAAAACGAAATACTAAACGGGAAAATTCTCTTACAGAACTTCCATCGCAAAGAGCAACCCGTAATTTGACTCTGGTGGCAAAGACATTGCAAACATTGGCCAATTTCACACGGTTCCAAGGCAAAGAAGACTTCATGGAATTCTTGAACGATTTCCTTGAGCAAGAAGCGCCACGCATGAAGGAGTTCTTGCACCAAATTTCAACGCGATCGACACAACCGCCAGTTGACACAGTACTTGATTGGCCTGGCTACATTGATGAGGGCAAGCAATTGGCGATTCTCCATCACTTGCTGTCGGAAAATATTCTCAAGCTGCCGATTCCTCGTCAAAACGAGCTGATTGAATTGCAAGGCGTTTTGGGTGAAATCACAAGAGCAAAACTGTCCAATAGTTTTGGTGTTTCACAAACCAATCTGTCTGAAAGCAGTCATTCAACTGTGCAAACTCACACATTGTCTCGATCTGAAAGCGGCAATATCACCTCAAACTCCATCATCAAGCCACTGGGCAATGGTGAACGTGGCATTATGCGAGGTGTACTCACACCGAGCTCGTTGGAAAAGAACATTTTCCGTTATAACGATCCAACCGTTTCGCCATTGTTGAATCAGGAGAACGGTGGTATCAATCGCAGCCAAAATAGCATCTACTCGAATTCGATTCAACACTCGCACTCCACTTCGAGCATATCATCGATTTCAAATCATAATCACAACAATTATCAAAATCATTTGTTGTCCACCACCGTACATCATCATCATCACAAAAACCATGCACCCAGCCCAGAGCGCTATGCATACTTACAGCAGCAACAACAAAAACAACAGGTAAGCTTAACCTCAATTTTCCGTTAACAAAACTGAAATGTAATATGCGTGATTTGTTTTCATTCATTTAGCATCAACAATATAAGAGCAATGTTTACTTGGAATCGAACGCATCGACCGCATCGACGCCACGCAATTTTAACACCACATCACACTATTATCCGACGAATGGTGGCGGATTGAATGGTCGACGAAGCCCGTCATTGCGTGCGAACACATTGCCGCGAAACAACAACATAATCCCAGTTACCACAATCAACAATAATGGCGTCCACGTGGAAAAAAACAATTCGCCAGCAAAGAATTCGAATCTCATTCAGATCGGATTGGACACGTCGTCAGCATTTGTACGAAAGAGCCCGACACCGATGCTTAAATCACAGAATAATCACAATAATAATCACATTATGCAGAGGAATGGTTCGCAATTGAGTTTGTTGAGCGATCGCGGAGGCAGTCAAATGCAAGGATCGCCACATGTTAATGGTAAAAATGCGTTCAATTTGGATTTGGGCATTCCGCACAGCAGCCTCATTGATCCACCGCATCCACTGCACGCCGTTTCAGCTCGAACCACCAACCATAATTCGAATATGCCAATGAAATTGGAAGATTTGGACGATTTACTGAAATATGCCGATGAACAGGCGACGAGCAATGGCGATGAAATTAAAACAGCCAAAGTTGGAAGCAGCACATCGATTGGACACTGCAGCTCGGGATACCAAAGCATTGCCACTCAATCGCAAAGTTCAACCAGCCCGGTTGATTTGGCCAGCGGTGTCAATGCACCGAATGCAAACGAATTTCCAACCAACAGCATGAAATCACGACGTGCCCTAGGCCAACACATTTCATCCGCTAATGGAAAGTATCAAAATAGTAAATATGGTAACAATAACAACAATGCAAACATCATGAATGGTGGTGCATTAGCATTTAAAAATCCACTTTACCAATTGCAAAATGCGATCGGAGTGAATGGATCGAATGGTACAACGATTGCAATTAACAATAACGTTGGTTCGAATGGAAAAGGACGACGACCGCACTATAGTCAGCTACACTCAAGAGTATCACAGCAATCCTCGTCACTTACACCATCGAGCAGTGATGAACGGCTAAGTCAGTCCAATGCACTTGACGATTCAAATGGTAACACAGTCAATGGATTGATTAGCAACATAAACGGTACTCTCACCAGTAGCAGTGACAAAGAGCATTCGCTCAATGACGATTGCGGCAGTGGAACGCTGAATGGCAACAGTTCAACACTGAATTCGATTGCCAAACGTTTGACGGGTAGCAATAATCGTATGCCACGAACAAATCCTTTGATGCAGGTTTGTATTTGATTTGATTGGATTTGGAGTGATGAGACTTTCGATTACTTATGCTGATTTACTTTCATTTGCAGTACAAACGCGAAGAACCCATTGAACCGTTGGCACATCACAACCATATCAGCCACCATCTTCGATTCCAAAGACGAACTAGCCTCGATTCACCGCACTCTGGCTCAGATAGCTCTTCAGAGGGTGAAGGTAAGTCATTTTCAATTCAAATTGGAAGAAATCAAGATCTCATCATTTGAGTCGTCTCTTTTGCAGAAGTCATTCGAAGCGAAGGCAAACGACGCCGATTCCCCCGAACCGTTGAACAGTGTGAACGGGAAATTCAACGGCTTCAATCGTCATTGGACGCACTCCGATCTCATCGTGAGGATAATGGTAGCGATATGGGTGGTCGAGACTCAAACGACGATCTTTCAATGCAACACAGTGACATCAAAATGCGAAATATCATTGCCAAGTGAGTGCCAAATCAGATTTAGATCATTGTTGCCAAAGAAACAAAAGTGTTTCATTTGTGCCAGATGAATGCCTAGAATTTTAATCAATTTCTCACATTTTCAAATCCATTTCAATTTTATTACAAAATTCTAATTTCGACTGTTCGATTACAGATTGATTTCCATGGAAAAGGAGCTACGGCAAGAGCAAATGAAAATGTCGGTTGCATTGACCCACAAGCAACGTGTCATCGAAGCCCAAGGACAACAAATTGCCGCTCTAGATGCAGCCAACAATCGATTGCTCAGCGCACTAAGTAGCCTTCGACAACGATACGAAACAGTGAACCAATCGCCAAACTCATCGATCAATCCAAATCATTCGGCACATTGCTAAGCAAACTTACGTTTGGATATATGACAAACGATAAATACAAAGAAAAAAAAACATATTGCTCAATACAAAAAGAATTTCTACAATTTTTGTTGTTGTTTTTGTTTTGTTTGTTTCGAAAAGACGAAGAAAAACCAAAATAATGTGTGTGTGTGTGTTTAATATTAAATGGCACAGCACAAATCCAAACATTACATTTTTAAGTTCTTCACCATCCCCTTCAAAAACTCACTCAAAACATTAAGAAATGTATCACTAATGTTCCCAACGTTTTTCTTTTTTTTTGTTAAGACAAGGAAATTTTTACATTTAAATAGAATAAAAAAGAAGAAACAAGCCCAAACATTTCAAAGAGTACACCCAAGATGCGTTTTCTTCTTTTCATTGATATGTTGCCCCTTCCAAGTGTTCCATGTCTACACATCATACTCTCTTCTTCATTCACCGTAACATACAAGTAAAAAAACCTTATCCAAAAAATAGAAGCAAATAGTTTAACATACTCACGTTTCTCGTTGATGTTTTTAAGCAGAATAAAAAGAAACCATAATCCACACTCAAAACCAGCATAAGAATTACAAATCTGAAGAATTATCTCTAGGAAACTTCGTATTATTAGTTTAGATTTAAAAGAAAAAAACAACTTATGTTCTGTATATTTATTTCACCTATTCTCTTCATTTCGCATCATTTAACACCTACTTTTTCTTTTGTAAAATTAAAAAAAAGAAACACACACAAATCTTAAGAAAATTAAATATTTGATTTAGAACTTATTCGATTTACTTATCTTGTATAAAAACAAATTTATTGACAATGATTTTTTTTCTAGATTTTAAGCCAAAAAATGAATAAAAAGAAAACGAATTCAGTTCATTCGCAACTGAATTTCCCGAACGGAAAAATTACTACAAATTTACACCATTTTTTTCGTCATCATTCATGAGACACAAACAAATATCCACGTAGATTTTATGTGTTTGCAAACTTAAGAATCTATTTGAACAATGTACTATAAAAACACAACAAAAAACCTTTAGCATTTAGAGAATCAAACTAAACAACAATGAATGTTATAGTCAAAATTTCGAAATCAGATCAGCAAATCTCTAGATCTAATACACATAACAATATTATGTTCTGAAAATTGCTAAACTCTTCTCAACCAATTCAAATGTAAACCATTGCTTGATGGCAATTTTCGCACCTTTTACACACATTCATCTTGGATGCAAATAAAATGCAAAATTCAACTCAAATATTGACCCAATGAAAATTATAATTGAACGCATTGTGTTTCATTTCAATTGAGTTAGTTTTTCAGATGGTAATTTACGTGCTTTTCTGAAGGTGAGTCTTGTTATCATGGTGTACTATTGCATTGTATGGAATTTTCATTATAAAGTACAGTTGTATGTTTGAGTCGAGACAAAGGGCGTTGTGCTATCGTCGAACCGTTGGCAGATATTGGTCAAAACTTACTCTCATTAACTTTTTTCATTGAAACCAAAAGACAAATTGTAAGATTCTCTGTGGCAAAGTATCAAAGTAGATGCTGAACGACATCGGTTGATTCTCTTTTTGTTTTAAATATGATCTTCCTTGAAAAAAAAAACTTCAAATATCCCTCAAAAGACCGCAAAAAGTAATTTGGACAAAATACTCAAAATAAGCATGATTCAGAGAAGAACAGGTTAGGTAAATGAACAGGTAGTAAAGTGAAAAAAAGGATATTTTTGGTTGAAAATGCTCATTATTGTGTTTCCAAGTGTGCTTAAGTCTTAACGGTAAATAACAAAATTACATAGAACATACATACACCTCTGCCTGGATTGGGATGAAAATACCGAATTCCGCAGAAAAGAAACTGTAGCCTGTATTCGTTAGGTTGCACTACAACTTCTTCATAAACTTCCAAACCATATTGATCATAACAGAAAGGTCTTTATATTGACCAACAGTGAATAAACACAGTTAGTTGAATTTAATCGTCAGCAAGGAGCACATTACTAGCAGAGCATCGTGAACAAAGTTTGTATTAGTAAAAAACATAGCGGATACATTTTGTATTTTTTGTGATTTTAATTTTTACTTTCAAATTAACCTTATAATCAACTGTGCCGAATCATTGAAGGTTTTTCACATTTTCAAGGGCGAACCACCGCTTATTTTTGAACAACACAGAGTATTTCGTTTAACCGGTGAATCATGAGTTTTATAAACAGAACGATTGAGTTTGATCCGAGATTGCCACATCCAAAAGCAACTGCTAATCAGTCGTTATTCATCAGTGACATCAACCGGGACTGTCTTGAACACATATTCAAACATTTGACCACACAAGATCTTTTAAACTTGGCAAATACAAGCAAGCTAATGAAAATGGTTGCTGAATCAATAATTGAACGGAAAATTAAAAACAAATGGGTATTTTTATGCAATCTTAATTCTTTCGAAAATTATTATAAACCGAGAGCGAGACCCTATTATGAAGAAGACATGCTCATAATAAAACCCGTGAAAACTTGTCTACGTTTCCTTCGGTGTTTTGGTCATTTAATATTGAAAGTGAATTGTTCAGTGCATGAACATATATTCAGGCTTACGTTAAAACACCCTGATAGAGTCAAAGCACTTGTCTACGAATATGTGTTCAAGTACTGTGCTAATCTTGTGGAAATTGAAATCCGTATCAGAGACATGATCGTATTGAGAAAATTATGGAATTGCAAATGGAATCAAAATTGGAAACCGATGGCAAATGTTGAAAAAGTTTACTTCAAAGGGTGTTTTCTAGATACGCAAATGATATCGTTCAATGAGATATTTCCAAAATTACGAAGCTTAGATTTTATTAATTTATGCGAGTGCCGCTCTCGCTTGAATCAACCTGAACTGACAAATTGGAGCTGTATTGCTGAGCCATTCAACAATTTACAGCATTTGTCTGTTAACATCGCATCACATGGGGTTAGTGGATTCAAAGAAGAAGATGTACTCACAGCTATAAAATTGAATCCAAAACTACGGAGCTTAAGTTTGGCATGGGGTTATTCAGTGGTCAGAACCGCGAGCAAAGGAGAAATTTTGCCAGGATTTTTTCCATCATTATGCGAAATAGCCCAATTCCTTGAGACTTTAGAGTTGGGCTTCTGGGATTTTAGTCGTTTGTCGCAGATTCAGGGTAGAAAAATTCATTTTAAATGCTTAAAGTATTTAGAACTTCACGTCGATTGGAATGGGCCATTTCCTTCAAAAATTCCGTTCACATCTGATGCACTTGAATGTATAACATTGCGATCGAACTGTCTTTCGAATGAATTACTTGGATTTATAATAAATAATCCGGAAATAACTAATGTTTTCTTTATGAAAGCAAGTTCAAAAAATGAAGAATGCATTAGAAATTATTACGAGGATATAACAAATGTCGGAAGTAATTCGTGTACTTTGAAACTAACAGCAGATCAGGCGATTTTGTTAGTGAATAAATGTAAGTTGGTGAATAGTTTTAAATTCGCAGTAACGGTCTACTCGGAGTATATACGCTTCAAGCAATTGATGGAAAATAGTTGGAACATCAAATATTCAGATGATTTTGGGTATTTGTGGGTTAACTGCCAAAAATTGGTTTAAGTTTGATATTGTAGAAATATCATAAGCCAAAATATAACTTTTTTAAGTCCATTTGTTCCGAAAACATCATTTCCTGAATCTCATTCAGAACGTTAAAAAATAAATCGACTATGTTCCCTTCTACTTTGTTCTTCGTTTTAATTAATTACATTTCTATGGGTGAGATTGCGAGTAGTGTATGTCTTTTTTCGGATTTATATTTTTAAAAAGTTGAGTTTTTCAGTGATTTTGTTTTAAGAAAATGAGAGCAAGTTTCTTTCGACTTAAAAATAGTTAAAGTAGAGTATGTATTTTGACTGTTTGTGGCTATCCCGAGTAGCAAAAATCTCAGGCTTGCAACCAAAATTTGTTATAAATCGGTTTCAATTCAGTCATTCGCAACAAAATATGTTATAGAACAGTTGCAATGTGGTTTTTAGGTAACAAGACATCCGCTTTGTTATATATAAGTTATAGAAAAGTTATTTTTAAGTTGTAGAAAAGGAGAAATATTTTAACAAATTTACCAACTGGTTGCCAGATAACTCATAATCTCAAAACTTTATTGTAACGTTGCTGCAACTACGATTTGGTTACATACGTAACCATAATAGTGCATTTCACCTTGTCAAACATTCATACATTTGGTCCAAGAATGCAATTCCTGTTGAAGAATTTGCCAAGCTAATGAGTTTCGAAAACGTTGAGAACGTTAAACGTTTTGCGTTGGTGGATTTCATCTAATCCAAAACCAATCATTACAAAAAAACAGAGAAATCACAAAAAAACATCTTGTGTTGAAACTACTTCATTACTATCTTTCTTGTTACAATAACGTAATTCAAGTTATAATTAAGTTACATTCATGTTATATAGAGGTTACAGTAAGGTTTGGCTGTCATTAGAATTCTTTCCGTAAGGCATACATCGCCTAATCAAAATTCTGCGGCAAAAAAATAAAATCATGGAAAACAAAACAAAAACAGACTAATTTCATTGAAACTGTCGTGGGATAAAATCAAAAAGAATGGAAATTATAGAAAAAACGTAGAAAATTGTTTAAAAATATGCTGGCATCCAAAATATTGTTTGACATTGAAACGCAAAATAGAATTTTATTTGTTACTCTTACGTTTATACAATATTTCAAAAACTGAAATGTAACTTGAATAACACAAGTTGTAAATATGTTGCCGAAATGTTTTTGCAACGTGTTTTATATGATGAAAGTCTAGATGGAAGCTAAGAAGTTCCTGCAACATTACTACAATGTAGCAGTATTGTTACAACAATTCCAAGGTTTTATTTGAGTTACATTTGAGTTTTAGTAACAATGGCAGTAAAAATCGCCATTTTACTGCTGTTTGGAATTTTTTGCGCATCGATGCGCTTGTTCTTTTGAAAATAAAATCGATTTAGCATATATTTATGCATTTTTAACATTGCATTCTAGCTAATTGCATTCTGCCATTTTTTTGTATGACGAATAAAGTGTAAGTGTGAATAAGGCAAAAAAAGAGCGAAAGCATAGCGTGAGCGATACGTACACCGCAGAAATGAAGAGTATTTTTTCTCTTGAGATATAAAACATCAAACTTCGCGCTAACGTCGAACGAGGCGCTAACGTCTCATCAGCGCACATTTTTGTATGGGTACTGCCGAAAATTGGATTAGATTGATTGTAGAAAAATCACAAGCCAAAATAATACTTTTTTGAGTTCATTTTTTATCGACGTATTTAAAACCACTTTGCATTGGCTCTTAGGTGCTGTGCGTGCCTTTTGGTTGTATTCCAGCCGTTTTTTCGTCTAGATTTCAGACGAATATACGCCTGAAAGTAGATTTTCAGTTGAAGTTTTAGGCGAAATATAGACTGGGACCGTAAACCATTCGAAATTCCGTTCAAAGTCGGGCGTAAATTTTAAACTGTGTAACAATATTATGTTCTGGATAGCGCTAATTTCTACTCAAGCAATTTAAAACCATTGCTTCGGTGATAAATCATCTAATGCACATTTAAGATGTGAACAACAGAGACAGACGAATTACAATAAAAACATACACACTTACCTACAGTATACCGATGATATGAAAGTAGCAACAAGTAAGTTACCGTTATCAGCGTACGATTGGTGTCTGTCTCGTGAAAACGTGCAATTTGATTTCTGTTGCATTCACCATGTCTCACAAGTAAGGTCAAAATTAATATTTTTCAAAATAAATTAAATGATAGGAAATTTAATCAAATCTAGCGTCGATCAAAACTATTTTATAAACATTGTTTTGGTTTGGTTTCATTTTAGTGTCCATTTTGATAATTCGGTGAATTATGCCATATCTAAACCAATTTCAAAACATCCACCCGATATCAAAATTGAAAAAACCGGAGGCGGCTTTGAAATAGTGCACAAACGTGTATTGGAGCGGCTTAGCGGGCGATTTCGTCGCGTGATAGGGACGCAACAAGATATGCTGGATTTTACAAACTACCCGGTAGAAACCGTAACAGAATTTTTTAAATTCTTTTATTCGCCTTCTTTTGAACCATCAATCAAGTGGATCCATCACGTCATGATTAATGTTTTGCCACGTCATGGTCGTGCTCGCCGACCAACAGCAGCTGCGCGCCGAGCCGAAAATGAATACTGGCACTCATCATGGATCCCGATCCGCCGACGTACTTCCGAACGCACAGCGAAACGTTCCTCAACATGTTATGACGCGCCGGATCCCGTCGCATATTTAGTGAATTATTATTCGAATGCCAATGTCGCACAAATTGGCAATCACTGATGTCGTCGATCCACCGAAAAGTCTGAATTTAGACGAATGCGTGAGACTATATAAAAGGCTTTCCCAATTGTACGGAAATGGACAAATCTCAATCGAAAATTTTTATTTTTTATATAATTAATATTTTCGATGAAGAAGTCGAACTTTCCATTAAATGGTGCCTTCATGTGAGAAAATTATTAAAAAGGTAGGAATAATCACGGTGGAGGATTGGGAACGCTGTGTTGCGGGTGCTGTAACAAATGAAAATGCTGCTTTCTTGCTTCAAGTGGCAATGGATTTGAATCTGAGTCATCTTCAATCGACTGTCAAACGTCTATTCATCCCAGGAGATATCATCGAAATTTGGCAACAATTTTATGTTGATGGCAATGGAGACATAAAATGTGACCAAAATAAAAAGAATTACATTGGTAATCCCAAAATTTTCCGTACCGTTGTCCTGCGTTGTCCGTAGGTACTTTTGGTTATTTTTTGTGAATTTTCTTGAAATAAAGGCAGTGAAAATATAATAATAAAATAAAGTGAAAAATCGGTCACTTTAACTAAAACTTCGACAATTTTGTATGAGAGATACCCGTAAACCGATTCTCATTGGCTTTAAACTTTCTGAGGTTTCTTTTTTTGGAGAAAAAATAAGATTCTGAAAGTTTCATGTTGATCGCATTTACAGAAGTTTGGTTTTTGGCCCTCAATTTTTTCCAAGAAAATGTCGACAAAATTTGAGGACAAAATATCAAACTTCTGCAAATGCGATCAACACGAAACTTTCAGAATCTTATTTTTTCTCCAAAAAATGGAACCTCAGAAAGTTTGAAGCCAATCAGAATCGATTAACGGGTACCTCCCATACAAAAGTGTGAATTTTTTGAGGTTTTTCTTAGGGCAAGTACCCCAGGATCAAATCGAAAATAGCACATCTTCAAACTTAAACTAAGTTTTTTGGATTCAAAACTTTTGGCATTTCCAGATTTTGATTATCTCAATTATTTTTTGAGTTATTGTGTTAAAAAACACCAACGACGACAACGACGACAACGACGACGGCACACGAACGGAAAAGTGTCTCAAAAAGTGGTTTTCTACGCGTTTCATGAGTTTTTATGATGATCTAAGCTAATTTTGCGAAAAAAGTTTTCGGGACCAATTCCTATACTTTCCCTTGACACGTTGTGTACGGAAAAGTAATGACGAGGTTATCACGAAAAAAGCATTTGCAATTGTATACGCAAAAATCCCATCCAATCTCAAACCCAAATTGATGAGTTTTAAAAAAATGTAATAAATCCCACAAACCCCAGTAGTTGTACTACAAATATCCAAATCAGTGTTTTTGTTTCATAAATATATAGATATATTTTTTCTAGCGTTCCTGAAATTGTTACAACAAAAAATATGTAAAATATCAAAATAACGTGCGAACCAAATTCATAATCATTTTAAAGTTGGCACCTCTGGTACTGCTGTGACAATCAAATTGAGTGACTGAACGGTTTGAAAGAGATCGCACACAGTCGCATATATCGTGCTCTTTCCATCTATCGCACTGAGCTAGAGCACATTACTAACACATTGACACACGAGAATCCCAACACAAATGTACGAGTTGCGTTTACTTTGCGGTCTTTCAACGTTTTGTTTTCATTTTCGGTCGTCGTTTTGACTTTCTATCGTTTTGAGTTTTTTTTTAGTTGAATGTAGTTGACATTCGTTTTGATTTTCCGCAAAAATAATTATTGTGCTGCATTCATCTAAGTTTCGTGAACATAATTCAATGGGTTTTGGAACATTTTGCCAATGTTGTCAATGCGATGTAATGTGATTAAAATAGTTTTTTATTCTCTGATGGCACACAAACAACATCCATTACGAATGTATCGGACATAGCTCGAACGAGTGATATGTAGTGTAAATGGCAATAACTGCGAATAAGCCATTGAGCTTTGTGAACTATTGTTATTGTTTGTCTGATGTCATCTCAAAAAAAAAACACTGAATTGAACAAAATGATAAAAAGTGTGATTAACGCCATCAGATGATTTTGCGTTGAATGATTTAAAAATAGCAACAATTATGCAGGAAAACATGTTGATTTGAATAGGGAACCACTGCAAAGTGAGATGATTTACATGCAGAACGCAATGAATTGAACGAAAATTTAGATTTTTATTTAGAGAACAACAAAAAAACGTTTTTGAAAATTCCTAGTTTTTGATTTTGTGTTGAATAAATAAATGATGGATGATGAATGTCGTGGCGTTCGGCAGCGTAAAAAACAAGCGGATCCAACTTGTTGTCCTGTTTGTGGTATAACAGTACGAGCACACGAGATGGAGCAGCATTATTCCATGGAAATGGATCGTTTAAACAAATTAAGTGTTCAAAAATATCGTAAATCCCAGACGAAAGAGATGCCTTTAGCAACGACGGCCTATGCACCGTCACCATCACCATCGCCTTCAGCTGCATCGAGCACGGCGAATGCTTCAAGTGACCCAAAGGAATGCTGGACCACATACCAACGAATCAAAAACAATCGAAGTGCTCGGCTCAAGGTGAGTGTGACATTTGCCCGGGAATTTTCTTCCTTTTTAGAAAAAAAGTCAATTTTTAATGTGACAATCTTCTTCTTTACAGTCGAAAAATCGTAAACGCAGAGCCGATGACCCGATGTGTCCTGTTTGCAATGAACGCATTCCCGACGATATCAATTTGCATGTCGAACTTTGTTTACGTCGAAATGAACGGAACAACGGAAGGTCAAGCGCATCTAATCACGACGACGACGATGACGATGATGATGACATTAGCATCGATGTTGAAGGTGAAACGTACGAAGAGTACGAATGGGCCGGCCAGACGCGAATCCGTGCTTCAAGTATGCTTGAAGGTGGTTACACGGCAGCAGGTAAGATTCATGGGTTTCGAACTAACTTACACTTGAATGAAATCGCCATTTCACTCAGAAGAAACTGCTTCTAAACAACAATTCTCTTTCATGTAGGTCTACAAACCGCTTCCATGAGCCAAAATGACGAAGATGAGGATCTCAATGTTGATGGTGATGATTCGCAAATCTACGGAGAGCCCCAATACAGTGAACGTGATATTATTTTGCCAATGATTGACAATAATAAGAAAGAAAATGTGTATTTAAGAAATCTGGTGATTGGTGAGACGTCCGGCGCAAGTGCATCCAATAAAAGTATTTCAACACAGCCCGGTAACGGTCGGAATGGATTCAATTCAGTGTCTGGCTTAGAGAATGGTAGCGATTCGGAACAACCGATGACAAGCCGATCATTTGGAAACCATTCCATTGCTGAAACCGAAATCAAATGTGAAAGTACGGCAAGTAGCAGCCGAATTACAATCGATTTAAAGGATGGATCCGTCAAGGAAGTAACTGTTCCTACAGTGACAAATCAACCATCAGTCGCATCACTCTCTCAAAATGAAACGGCTGCATCACAAGTTATCGAAGCGTTGAAAGAGAAAATCCGCGAATACGAAACAATCATTAAGAATAAAAGTAAATGCCTGATTTGCATGGATGAATTTCGAGTGCCGGTCGTTTCCATTTGCTGTTGGCACGTTCATTGTGAGGAATGCTGGCTGAGGACGCTCGGCGCGAGAAAACTTTGTCCACAATGTAATATGATCACATCACCAACTGATTTACGAAAAATTTACATGTAACTCCATTCATAGCGAAAAGTGGAGAAAGAGTTTAAGTTTAACCATTAGTCTTAGGATTTAGACCATCTTTTGTACATAATCAATAAAATGATCCACAAAATCAATAGTTTTGGAAAAGAGATTGTGTGTTTTTCAATGGACTGTAAAATCATAACTAAGGCATTATTGACTTTGAATCTTATTCAGCACTAAATGGCAGTAGAAATTCAATTCTTGCTTTGATTTCTAATTAGCGAAAGGTCAATCAAGAGTGGCACAATTAACGTTGCTATTGCATCATCCATTTTGGCAAATCAATTGAACTCATGCACCGAACAAATTACTTCTATCTCTCTGCAAATTATTTCATTTCGATGCAACACTATGGTAAAAAATTGATGATATATCTGGTAAATGTTTCGAAATTCACATTATTTCGATGAAAATAATAAAATAATGGAAAAATTCTAAACAAAATTCTACAATAACTAATGAAAATCCATTAATGATAAAATCTATGAAAAAATATGTGTGGAGCAGCCGCAGTGTTTTAATGCACACATAAGCCGTAGCTCACGAGAATATGTATGATATTAGTCACCAAATATCATAAGAGCAAAGTGGCGCAGTGGAAGCGTGCTGGGCCCATAACCCAGAGGTCCGAAGATCGAAACTTCGCTTTGCTATATAATTTTTTTTCGATTTTAAATCGAATTTCAATATTCGAAACTTTATTTTAATACATTTCCAAAGGTTTACTTATCATATTTTGTTATTTAAAAGAAGAAGAATTTTCTTGTTGGAATTTAATCAGTGATTGTTTTCTTTTAAATCCTTCATTCGTTCTAACACGACTTCATAGAATGTTCATTGAATATTCGTGATATGGAGATGAAATGAATCGAGTCGAATTGATTTTCCACTATAGTACAATTAAAAAAATATGACTGGATGCTCATTCATACAACAAAAATGACGTGAAGATAAAGTATTGATTTGTGTTTGAATAGTAAAAAAAAAAAATGAAAAATGCGGCAAAAAAGGATATAGCAAAGCGAAGTTTCGATCTTCGGACCTCTGGGTTATGGGCCCAGCACGCTTCCACTGCGCCACTTTGCTGTTATGCATAGTAGTCGCCCGTTAGAAAACTGCCTGAACGATATGAATATAAAAAGCTATGTGGAAAAAGTTTGCTTCAGTGATTTTGTGATGTTAGCGTAATTCGACACATCACATGGAATCTCCTTGGAATTATTCATTAGTTTAGACACGTTATCGGCGCCAAAGTGAATGAAAAAAAGGTTTCATTTCAATTTGGAATAATGACTGTAAAAAAAAATCATAATTTTAACATCTTTTCCAACATTTTGCTTATTTATTCAAAGCTAATGAAATCAAATTCCATTTTCTTCTGCCGCTCTTTTTCAACAATGTTTGATGTTCAATGAAACTCATCTTGAAGAAGAGAATGCATTTGCCTGCGTACACGCTTTGTTCTGTTGTTGTGTCAAGAACACAAAAAAGCTTCGGCTAAAAAAATTAGCCAACAGCAAAAGAGGATAAAAAGATATAGCAAAGCGAAGTTTCGATCTTCGGACCTCTGGGTTATGGGCCCAGCACGCTTCCACTGCGCCACTTTGCTCTTGAAATACTTTCCATGAGTTGAAATGACGAAGATGTGGAGCTCATCGTGAATGGCGAAGAATTTTATATTTTATCAATGGCTGACGACAATAAGAATGGAAATGTGTGTTCAAGAAATCTGATTGGTGATAGATGTTCGCCTCACGTGCGTTAAACCGAGGCAATTCAATAAAGCCCGATAGCGATAGAAATGGGTTCAATTCAGTATCAGAGTCTCAATTTGGAGATGTCAGAAATGGATTTTTCGAAATAATCTGCATTCGGTTGCCATTTTTTTCATTCTGTTTTTATTTTCATTCAAGAAGGAAAAAAGCATTAGCAGAAACCTGAGCAAAAATAGTAAAAAGAAAAAAAAAAGATATAGCAAAGCGAAGTTTCGATCTTCGGACCTCTGGGTTATGGGCCCAGCACGCTTCCACTGCGCCACTTTGCTCTTGTGATATTCGCAGGCAAATATATTACATGTGTGCAAGGGTGGATGCGTGCCGCATACACAATGCGTCAAGCCACCAATGTAATGACGTCAATATGTGTGTGGCTGCTCCACACATGGTTTTTTTCCCTTATACATTAATTTCTAGGAATTATCGAGTTTCATTTATTAATAACCGTTCGAAATAAATCTATGGCGATAGTGTTGTTTGCATTGCATTAATTTCGATTACAGAAACAACGATTATTGTCCTTCGAATATTGATATCATTTATTAGATAAAATTCAGCATTTTATACAAATTATCTATCACAAAAGGGCAAGTGCAAAAGAACGGCATTGTTTTCATTTTTTTTTAGCAAAATCTATGCTTCTATACATTCTTTTATACATTTCAAAAGTAGAAGCAGATGATGCAATAGCAACACGTTTTGTACTATTTCCCCTTCACCATTCATTCGTTTCACAAGGCGACATCGGCGAGATAACCGGTTTGATCTTAATAAGATAGAAATCAGAGTATTTTTCTATCAGCAATCAACTTGAACTTGATTGTTTCAACCTTTTTCACTTTTCACTCCAAGTATGCTCATCGCAAGATGAAAATTACCTATAATTTCTGCAACTTTCACAATTTCGCTGATGATTTCAAAATTTGCATTTTTTCTTCTCGTTACAAAAACCTACATATGTCACTCTTGATGTATTTCTCAGAAATCGGAGCGCGAAAGTGACTCAGAATGACTTGTATTTCTGAGGTTTGTCGTACTGACGATTCACCAAAGCCAAGCATTATTCTCACATTGAAAAGGTTAAGCGAGACCAAAATTAGAATTATGTTTGTTCTTTATTTCTAGCGGCTGTCAATAGGCATCTCATGTTTACCATTGGCAAAACGAATGTGCTTTCGTGCCAAATTCGAAACAATTAGAGATGAAGAAGAAAAACACAAACGGTTTTTAATATCAAATCATTATCTTTTGTTTTGTTTTTTATTATTCAGATTGAGTATAATATAATACATACACAAAAATAAATTGGGCTTACTGTTGTAAAATTATGAAAGACTGTTTGATTTTCATTTGAATTTAAATGCTTCAAGCTCTCACGTTGGCAATGAAGATTCGTTCGAATTTACTTGAACATTTGTTGGTGTGGGTAAAAAAAAGTTGAATGAATATGATTTGTATGCATCGGTTTATATGTGTTTTTAAAGCAAATAATAAGGCTGTTTGAATTCTGGTTGTCGGTATGGATTGGGTTGAACAAAATATAATTCGAATTATGTATCCATTTATTATCTTATTGAAAATCCAACTAAAAGTCTCGATAAAACTGTTTCATATTCTATCGCTCTCTCTCTCTCACTATCACTATCTATCAATTGTTATTCACTCACCGTAAAACCACAGTATTATTCTAAATTTCAATATGTTGCGATACTTTTTTTTCTTTATCTCGCCTACGATATGAATAAAATGTTCAACTCAGTTGAGGTTGTTCAACAAATCCTCGCATTAAATGCAGATGCCCAACAAAAATCGATTCAACTGTAGTCTCTTACTTTGATTTCTAATCCAAATCCGAAATTCGTTAGTCATTTTTGTTTCCGTTTCGTTGACTATATACGCTCACACGCTTTGTTCTCAAATTGAAAGTGAAAAATTACGAATGATAAACAAACATTTTATGTGGCCTACAAACTAAACATCTTCGCTGAAAATAGCATAATTCGTACACAATATAAATCAATATGGGAAATTACTCAATTGTTCCAGCTGTTGTAGAACATGTGTGCATCACTGATTTGGATATACAGTGTGTCGTTAGTGTGAGAAAAAAGTTACCATCAATGTTTTGATGATGTAAACTCAAGAAAAAAGAAAGAAAACGTTCTGGTTTCTCAGTTACGATTATTAATAAATTTGGTTAGTGTTAAGTTTATCGTATAAATAAATTTCTGTTTTGCTGCATTAAAATGTACTTTTTTTGTTCTTGTTGCTTGTGTAAAGTACCGACATCCAACCACGTGGGATGCAAATGTGTTACTAATATGAATATGAATATGTTTATCGTTTTTGATCGATGATTATTTCATCTCCATCACGAATATTGTAGCTGTATAGTTGTTTATGCATGTATTTCATCTCCTCCGGCCCGTGAGTATCACGCAAATCCTGATCCACGTAAAATAATTTCATCTTGGCTGCCGGGATGTTGGTCAAACGCTCGAGACGTGACTTCAAATCAACAACAGTCCTGAAATATTAAACATCAACCGGAATTTATTGATAGAGAAAATCAGTATTTTGCAGTAAAAATGTAGGCCGATTGTGCTTAAATTGTAAATAAAATGATGCGGTTTTTATCGGTATCCAAATTTCGAAAAAAAAAATTTTATTTAAGGAAGCTTGAAATTTATTGCTTGCACGTCGAATGTTACTTGATTGGCAAATTTTGAATCAGTTTGACCGAATCAGTGTTTCACTTGGTGCAACCTTCACATTTGCCGTTTGGTAAATGGTTCCAAAACAAGAGACATTTTTCACACTATTTGACTTTGATTATCTAAAATTGAAATGCGATTAGCTAAAGCAAAATTCATTGTTTTTTTTTTTTACTTCTCAGTTTGGTGATATGTGGAATAAAAATGTTAAATTGATGAAGTATGACAAGATGAAATAGAAACACGTCAACTATTATCAACTTCCATTTTAACTTTTTTCGTCTTGCTTTTTTTTTTGACTGAAGACTCACCTATAAACATCGACCGGTCGTATTTCACTTGTGTCACCATAAGTGAATGTGACTCTGACTCGTTTTTCCGGGCGCAAATCGATTTTCACCAATGGATCCAATTTTCCATGAACAGCTATTAGATCGGCATAACGCTCGGGTCGATCGGCTTCTGGTTTATCTACATAGTATCGAATAAATGCTCGTTCGGCGGCTTCACGCTCATCAGCGCTAATTTTACCGCCACCGTTGAGCGTTTGCACATGAGGTAAACGGGCAATCAGCAGTTGTCGCCGTTCATGCTCCGTTGCATCACATTTCTCCCATAATGGCCAATTTTGAACGCGTAAATTTCGAAGCGCTGGGAATTTGGCCAAACGATCGATGTCGTCCCATGTGTTTATCTCTGTGTTACTTAAATTTAGGAACGTCAGATTTCTGCAAAGTAAAAAAGAAAAGAGAGTGTTAAATGACGATGGAATGGGTGAAAAAAGAATTTAATTTGATACTAAAAACAAAAGGAAAAGTAAAGGTAGAAGAAGCGTTTAAACACATACTGAAAATACTGATGTGGAGGATCTTCACTTTCGCTGCTCGATGAATTGTTGTCACTGCATTCGCTGCTGCTCGAACCGGGTCGTGGAATGGGCTCAACGGCTTTGAGCGGACATTCCGCCAATACCAACGACTCTAAATTGGGAAAAACTCTGCCAAGGCGACAAATTTCATGCCACTTCGATACGGGATTGCCAGAGAATTGCAGCTTCTTCACGCCATTGTGCGCATTTGTTTTCTTGAATGTGGAGCACACTGACTCGCCTGAATTTGGGAAACAGAAAAATAGTTTTTGCATTTAGAATCCAATATTCCATAAAAATAAATTCGAAATAAGAAAAAGAAACTTTGACCCACTTCTTTTTGTATCTTTAGGCGGTGTTTGTAGGCCGCATGAGCTGCAAATGGATTCTTTGTCACATGGATTTTTTTTCGTTATAGTATTCTGTACGGAAGCTGCTTCGTCATTTTCGATGTCATTATCATCGGTGTCATTCAGATCGTCTTTGAAATCCGTAATTTCGTGGAACACATCGTCATCCAGCGTATCAATCAGAACGTTGTGATAATCGTTTAGGCTGAGGTGGAGTTCTTCAAGTGTTTGAAGTGAATTGATCAGCGTTTCGACGCTGTCCCAATCGAGCCGTGTATTGTTAAGAACTAGGCTTCGTAGCCGGGTCAATGCAAAATCTGGTGGCGGTTCAACCGGTCCAGACAATAGATTTAAACTCAAATTGACGAATTCAACGCGTGGCATATGCGACAGTATCGAAAAGATTTCTTTCCAACTTTTCAGTTTGTTTTGTGCCAAATCCAACTCCTTCACGGTGCAGCATTTTTTTCGCAATCCATCCGGCTCACCGGCACAATCGATATCACAGTCATTTAGTACAAGCAAATCGGGCACTCTGAAAATGATGGAAACGAATCGAAAGAAAAACCAAATTCGTTTAATACTTTCACTTTTTTCATGTTTTAAACGCGGTGAAAATGGCAACACATGACAACCGATGTTGCCGGAAAAGCCACATTCGGATGCATCGAATCATCAAACGACAAATTAATTTAATTGCTGAAAATACGTTGACTTTTTGTGCTTCGCAGCGAATTGATTGAAAACAAAAGCAAGGAAAAACTAAATCTTCAAAAATTGTATAGAGAAACGAATGGAAACCGAACAACAATTCGATATGTCGTTTAACAATGTAAAAAATACTGCTTTCAGCTGCTCACTAGTAAAAAACTAATTGTATTTGATTGCCGCTTGCCTTATGTAACCGAAACGGCAATTGCATAAAAATGCGATAGTCATGTGGTATAGAAGCACCGAATTTGAGTACATTGATTTTTATTTTCGTTGCCGCTCTTTTCAAAGTTATGCACAAAGGCAACCGTAGATTTCAGTATCTCGCTTTTTCTTTTATTTTTTTCTTTTGTGTTCGTTCGATGGACAAAAGAGATGCAATTCTTGGAAAAATTGAGGTTGATAGACGAGCGTGATTATACACGCACTGTTTTCACTCGAATCATTGCAAATTCGATTCGAAAATAAAAAAACAGCGAGCACAAAGTACATTTCGCTGAAAAATAGCAATGTAATATTTGTGTTTTCTATTTTGAAACATGACAATCAGAGCTACGCGCACATTTCAACCGATCGAGGGGCTTTTGAATGTTTTGCGATTTTCGCGGCGATGCGTAAATGCGTAAGTATAGAAATGAGGTCTGCATTTATGTAAGTTCTCTTTTTTTTTTTGTTGTTACTTTTTATGCCGTTGATTTATTCGAACACCGAAATAAAATTTGAAATTTTATTGACCGAATCATGTGCCCGGCTGTGCACTTACAGTAGTCGTGGCGGAAGTTTGGGTACAAAAATTGATACGAGCGCTTCCTGTGGATCACAGCTGCCGCCGAGTCCGTATTTTCCTTCAATTGCCTCCAACAAAGATGGCATGATGGTTCGTGTCTAATGTGTGTGTGTGTGTGTTTGGCCTCTAAGTTAAGACGAACGTTTCTCCTCTTTTGTGATTACATAAAAATTCTGAAATGACAAGGCGAAAATTAATGGAAATTAAAATGATGAATCAACGAGAGGAAGGTGAACGATTATGGATTTTGACAGCTAGACACGACTTGGAATAAAACAAAAGCGAATGCAGCAGACAGCAAGCCAAAGCAAAAAACCATGTACACATGCTCTCTATGGAACATGACGTCGAAAGCGAATTGAACAGTGGTGTAACAGATGCCCAATGTTCCATGAAATTTGTAATAGATATTCAACCGTTTTACCTACTTGCAATTGCATTGCAATCACACACAAACAGACAATAGTAAAATGAAAACGAAAAACAATCCAACGGAGGCAGATTTATCGTGCGAAATAATTAAAATCGTAAATTTTGTTGGTTTTTCTTTTCGGAGGTGGCTCGAAGTTTTTGTGCAATTCGTGATTTGTTGTATTACTAACTGCTCGATTTGTTTTTTTTTTTTGTGATTCGACAAATTTTTCAATCACGGAAGCGAACAAATAAAAAAAAACTAAGCAATTCCAATATCGATCGATCGATTGTTGCTTTTGTTCATATAATTTCTAGCTCATTTGAACAGACCTTGCAACGCAAAGCAATTGTCCGGTGTGTACTGTTTTTTTTCCTCGGTATGTTGTATGCTTGGTTTCCGAAAAAGGCAGCAAAAGAAAAGTCGTAGTTCATATTTTGTTTCAAGGTTATTGCATCGATGCGAAAATGAGCCAACAGTTCAACCAATTGAGACTGGCTTGGCTATTCAACTATTGATACTAATCAAGCGCGAGCATGTTGAACATTGACCACGGTGTACCAGTCGCCGCTACAACCACAAAAAATACACAGCAACAGACATAAAAGGGGAAAAAAACTGCAGGATAAATAAAAGCGACAAGGAACAACAACAACGATTTAAAAAAAAATGACAAAAAAAACGAAATAAATAACTGAATTAAATTATTCCAAATATGGGATTGCGGCGTATGTTCCTCGTTCTTTATTTGCCCGATCGTTCGCATCATGATCGGAGAAAAAGTGAACATGAAAGCAGTAAACAGCATTCTCCCTCGTTCTCTCGTTCACAGTTCGCGCTTGTGTGAATCATTTTTCGATCGATTAGTCGCATCTCGGAGCGGTTGTTGTTGCTGTTTTTGATTACAGTTTTGTTCCGCAGCATTTTATTTACACAAAGGAATCAAAAGGAACAACGCATATTCATGTGAAATCGATAAAATGAAAACCAACGACGACGACGACAAAGACAACGATACCATGATGTACAATGGAAAGTAACTGGTTGTTTGAGAGCAATCACCTCAGAATATAATTATTTTATTGGCTAGACCCAGGGGATACGAGTATTCATTCTTTGTTGTAAGTTTCGCATGCACACACACACACACATGCTGGAATGACTTCTGCACACCCAAATATATGTTTAAAATTTTTCATAGCTCAAACGCATGCATAGGCTAATGATTTATCGTTTAGCGTTTATTCACATCGTCCTATTGATAAAATGGCACTCAAGCATCACATTAATAAATCCATCGTTGTTACGCTTGCATTCAATTCACCACTTCAATTGATTGAGCACATGTACGTAGCACGCATAATTAATTAAAACGCAGTTAATTCGCCACATTATCGCATAACCGAAAATTGACCGTCATAAACAAATACCGGAATCTAATTTCTTATTGGCCATTATTAATGGTGTTTTCGATGCGGTTGCACACACAAACATGTTTCTACTTTGCGTATGGCTAGAAAATGCAATTGGATTGGGTGACGTAAAACGCAGGCGATTGCATGATTCACTTAATTACTCAAAATGTGAGTTCCTGTTGATCATCGCCTGGGATCCAAATGGAAAAAAACCATTTCTTTTTACGTAATTTTAGTCCAAATAAAAAAATATCGTATTTTTTTACCACGAATTTACGCCGCCAATTCAATCAGCAGAGATAAGAAGAAGAAGAAGAAAAAACCTTGCAATTTTGGAATTTGCAGTCAAGACGAATCGGGAGAACTGTGTTATTTATGTGAAATAAACATTTTACAAATCTTTCCGATCGAAGAGCTAAAAACTGCGTTTCAATTTTAAGTTTTTGTATTAAGATGGCACTTTTATATATTAGGAACTAACAGCAACAACGAACACGAGCGCGCGCGCGCTGTTATTGCTTAACCAAATGGCGTAGCGACCTTTTGAATGAGCCTCACTAATATGCGTGCGCGAGAGTAAGAAACTAAAAATAAATAAATTCCAGCGGTTGCGCAATACACGCACGAATTCAGCTGATCATTATTGTCGTTATCGCAATCGCAGTTTTGTGCCGTTTTGTTGTCTCTTTCCCTCGAATTTGAATGTCGTCCGTCTAACGACATTAGGCTAACTTAACAGGTTTTTATTTCGTTGAGAGTACACATAAATCAATTTGAGACTGACCGCATTCAGCATATGTGTTTGTGTTTTTATATAGAATAAGCTGAGTATTAATTCAATTTTAAAAATTCTCGAGTGGATTCACAAAAATAGATAGTAAACACAAAAACACCAATCCTAAACGGCCATTTTATCACACTTTTGAATGGATTGTACACGAGCCAATTTCAGAAATGCGACCTTGTTCATACCGAAAATATGAAAACAATGAGCAAAGTAAACGAAACAATCGTAACCAAACGATATTAAAAAGCACACAGTGAATGTTTTGGTTTTCATTATCGTTTCGAATTGTTTTTTTTTTAGAATGTAACAAAGAAACCGGCACCAGCAGACCTCATGGTAGTGCTAATTTTATTTCGTTAATTAATGTAAATTGCGTCGAAAAATATGTAATGTTTCGTCGAAAATCGATCGTTATATAGAACTTGATACTACGTTTCGACAGGCAGGAATTGCCCGCAGACAAAACAGAGCAATGTGCTTTCCATCACTTACACAGACATTTCATGGCGTTGACAAAAAAAAGTTCGTTGATGAAATACTAGCCAAAATGTGATGGCTGTGAGACGCACGTGTATATAATTTTGACCTAGATAAATCATTGATTCATATTTACAATGTGTTCTAGTGGCGAAAATATACGAGCATCTCGATTTGAATTTCTCTCTCAAATTGCCAAGAGATTCGAACAAATTTTGCTGTGCACACAACGATTGAATAACCAGTGAAAACGAAGACTGTAACACTGCAAATGATGTGATATTCGACGTCTATTCGATTTGGCAACGAGTCAAAAATCATTCTCAGCCACTTGCCAATGCATCGCACCACAGCTGAGTCGATACATGTAGTGCTTTTGTCAATAATTCGAAAAACGGATTTGAATATGCCAACGAATCAAAACAGAAAAAAGTGACGGTCTGTCGTCCTTAAAATCGCAACGTTTTGTTTCTTTTTTGCAGCATGTAAATTACAATCGAAACAAATTTGGTCGAGAATGTGGTTTCGAGTAATTACCAAAACGAACAAAAAAGTATATGACGCAACATACAGAACACAATACATTATCCAATCACAGCGAATAAAAAATCTGTTCTAATTTTGCAGCTTTAGATAGTTTGTCTCACTCTTGCTCTTGCTCTGCGCTCGGGCTCGTTGCCTTTGTTCAACAAGTGCACACAAGCGCTGCCTTAAAACAAATTATAACCAGAAAATAGAGAGCAAAACACAAAGACACAAAATTGTATTCCATGTCATTGCCATATGACCTAACAGAGTGCACACGGTCGTCGAAGACGAAACAAAAGCATATATTGAATTGAATGACCATTTCACGAAAATTTTCTTCGACCAAACAAGATGCAACACACACGTACTACTGGACTTTTGTGCTGGCCATTATCCGATTACGGCATTCACCCGAAACAAAAATGAACGAACCAAAATAAATTATTTATCGTTGAACTATCACTTGGTTTTTTGGATCGTCCGAATAGTTTGCTATCGCCTGCTTTTAGCGATGTAAGTTTTTACAACTCTCACTATTTTTGTTATACGCTGTGTATGTGTGCGTGTGTTTCGTGCTGAAATATTTCAGATTTTTCATTCGCTTTTCAAAACCTTGAACTATTTTTCTACCGTCGAAGCTATTAACAACGACGACGGCGACGAAAACAACAGCAATACATAGCGTTCGATTCAGCTCTACTTTGATTACATAGTTCATGCTGATAAAAATAAAGCATATATGAATTTTTGTGTGTGACGACGCAAAACTTTGTAATCCGATTGAATCGGGATCGAAATGGAACTGTTTGACTTTTGATGAGCTAATTTGTGTGACAAATTTCAAAAGGAAGATTTATAGTTCGATTGGCATTGACAGGGCTTAATTACGAAATGTTAACGCTGTTGAGAAACGTGATCATTTCCTAATTTATGTTCATAAAAAAAAGACCGGAAGAAATACAGCCATCATCAATTAACTGCTCATTGCGAATGGGTGTCACGACTCACATTGCTGCCACAGAAATGAAATTCAATGGTAATTTCACTCGTGCTCATTTCCTTCAACACACTGTATCACTGGACGACACGATGCCACCGTATAATCATAAGGCTGCTTGTAATATGTGTTCGAAACAATGTGTGAATGCTCGCGCGCAATTGTTCGACGTGAACAAAAAAACGAAAATGCAAATAAGTTACATTTCTCTATGCTCTCAGCTCGTAAATCGAATACATGGGAGCGCAAGCATCCATACATGCTCTTTTTTCACCTTCCTTTCTCTTAACTCCAAAATAAAACACTCTGTGCCGCTTCGTAAAGAGAGCAAATGCAAGACAATAGAGTAAATCTCAAGACTCGATTCACGCTTCTATATTTTGAATTTATTTTGAATCGTTTTCATTTTCTCGCACAAGATCGCTGAAGTGAGCGAATGAGCTGGGCTTGAAAAACCACAAATTCAATATACATTTCATCTACAGCTTCGAAATGGGAGCATATATCAAATAGTGTGCACTTTTGAATGACTTTTAATCTATGTGGCATGCGGATTGGAGCCAATCCAAATGGCCAATTTAAATGTTTGCATGCAAATCGTTTGGTTTCATTTTATTCTATTTTTCGCTCTCTCTCTCTCTCTCGTCAAATCGCCCACAATTCTGCGCCAAATAGATTGAAGCTAGTAAGTCATTGCAAAAAAAACATATACGAGGCGCGTTCAGAATCAGCTTGACTGATGGTAAATCGTATGCATTTAGGTTCATCGTACCACACGAACAATAAAAGAGGTAAACACAATCCCGTGTTCGGTGCCAGTCACACAATACGGTAAATACGATTCGATGACTTAATGCCACTGAAAATGCCATACACTTTTAAAACAAAGAACACTGAAAAAAAAAAACTGGAGAAAAGGAGACAGACCGAGCGAATGGACGAACGAACGAACGAACGAACAAAAAAAAAATATCGTACTCGAGCACAGAGTCAACAATCGACACACATACACATACGGAACAGCTAAACGAATCAGAAATGCTGCTGAACCAAAATAATACAATGAAATCAAAGTAGCAGAACCAACCATTCAAAATATGCCATTTTTGTTTCTGCACATTCGTCGGAGTCAATGTGAAAAACATTGACATGGTAACTATGGCCATTTCGCTGAAACCCAGTGGCTGAATCATGATTGTGAGAAAACTACGTGGGTCGTCGAATTCTAAGCGACTATACAACTCATAAAATTGGTTCACACTTTCATTACATTCAAGAGCATACCCCGAGTATTCTCTTCTATACTCCATGTAGAAATGCAGACGTTTTTTCCCCAATCTATTCTTACGAACTCAGTCTGTATGGCAAAGGAATTTTATTATTCTATACACTTCAGGGAGCTTTGAAGAAAAACTTAATCCCATGCAAAGAATAGCTCCATCGCATTAGCTATATCTCAAACAACTTATGAGATCTGCCACGCGCTTCACTATTCTCTCTGTCTCGAATGTTCGCTTTTAATATTCCTTCGTTCAAGAACAAACGTAATATTTGTTCAAATCTCCAATGGCAGCGCTGGTTCGTTTAATGGATATTCCGTTTTAATTGTCAACCATGAGCGTTGAGCACATTTTACGCTGATGCGCAAAAACATTTAGCTTATAGTAACGTGTGGTTTTGCCATTTACGTGTGGTTTTTTTTTCTTCACTTTGTTTATGGATGGATTGTTCAAAGGCAAAGCGCTGATAACACGAGCGACAACACAACGCAACGCTATTAATCTAATCGAATCTCTGTTTGGATTTTAAACCCACGCGCAATGCATTGGAGAATATAACAAAGAAACAGCAGTAGTAACAAAACAAAATCAACTGAATTCGGTTGGCAAAGTAACGCGCAATACCTATGCCAATACGATTTGGATTGAATCATAAAAATGATTTCAAAACGAGAAGAAAAAAATGTCAGAAAATTATAAAATTAATCGCAATAACCGTTGGGTAATTTAGTTAGCTAGACGAAAAGTCATTTTTCGTTTGATGACACGAACACTGAAAATTTCTTGCGTGATTTTCACACATTCCATCTCGTGCCGATCAGATATTATGAGCGTCACATAAAAAATGAACTTCTTTATTTGCATAGAAACAAAGTCTCGATGAAACCGTACGCCATGAATATATCGCGTACATATGTTGCATTTTCTATGCCCAATGCATATCACGAAATCTCAATGGAAAAGTATACTCATTTTTCTGTGCCGACAACGACGACGCTGAAAGTTTATATAGCTTGGGTGCTTTGCGTGTGCTATTTAAAACGATTAGATTTAATTTGTTGAACTATAAAATTGTATTTAAACACTGAGCTCGTCATCGTTTCACACACAGGTCGACCGAATCATTTGGGTACACAAATTCGATCAGCTCTTTTTCTCCCTACACTGTCGCAGTAACCAAGCCAATAAAAGACACAAATTACTTGTCAAAATCTATGTTTTTTTTTCGAAGTTCCAACGAAGCCTTCTATATAAATGAATACACATAGAGAAACAAGTTTATTAACAGTCCAATGTTTGTACCTTTTTTTTATCGATAAGATACAGGCGATTTTTATTGACTCCTCGGTTCGATGAGCTAGTTAAATGACAAAGTAGCAGCAATCACACCAGCGAAATAATTTTCGATAAGATATTGACTATTAAACTCTATAACTCTGTTTATTCAATTTCACCAACTTTCGTTTCTTTCTTTTTTAATTTTGATATATGACAAACTTGGACCACAAATGTATGTTGAATTCACTCTCAATTTAAAATTTGCTTTTCGCCATTAAAACTGGATTTTTTTCTAACAACAATTCAGATTTTTTTTCTTTTCCTTTTGATTTTGACACTTCACAAATCATTTGAAAAACTGATGATTTGATATATTTTTTTTTCACTGCTTCTTCGACGAAACACAAATTTTCTACTACTGAACGAAATATTT